GCTCCTGCCAGTAGACACGGAGGTGATCAAGGTGCACTGACGTGACATCCTTGTAGATACTGTCCCCTGGGTGCTTGAGCCACTGCAGAATGGGCAGCAGGGGCTTCATGCTTTCCATCGCCCCCTCCATCTGCTCCAGCGTCTGCTGGGACATCAGTGACACTGCCACATAGTAGAAGAGCCTCTCGCTCACCGCTTGAGCACATGCGTGGCCACCATGTCCATCGAAGACGCCAAACATCAGCCCATTGGTCTGCAGGCAGGCGGCTACACCTCCCCGGTCCTCCACTGGGAAATTGGCAGCCAGCTGGTTGCTCTCAAACCGCAGCACCGAACTTGGGACTCCACTGACAAGGTCAAGAATCTTGTGGGCCGACTCACCGGCTCGCAGCACTTCATTTACCTGCTCAGGGCTGAGCGGCAAGTGGAAATCATCTTCCTCTGTTGATGTGTGTCTATAGGCTTTCTGCAGAGCAATGCCACCACATGAGGCATTGTTTTTTAGGGTGACTGGCCCCTGGGGAAAGAGCCTCCATTTTGATTTAATCCTATTTGAGGCATACCTTGAATATAAACGTTGTCCCCCTTGTAATGTGGCAATGCTGTTTCTTGCAGAATTGAAAATCCAGTAGGACACAGTACTTGACATTCTGAAACTGTATGAGTGAATGTGTTCCTTCAGCAAAAAGGGTTTTTTTTAAACCTGAAAATTTGAGATTTTAAGAAAGTTTTAAATTTAATTTTTTTAAAATAATGACTTCTGAAAACAATCTCAAAATACTTAAGCAAGTCTCCATACGTCCCATTATAATATATAATCACATTTCAGAAAATGGGTTTTTAAACACTCTCTGATCTTAAAGAGTCACTGAGGGCTACCCCCAGGGCCCACCTTTTCCTCCTTCCCAACTCCTTTCCCTTGCCAGGGCCCTGTGCCCAGCTCCCATGTTCACTCTCCCCAGTAGGCTTTAAGTGTTCATTTAAATATAAGCTCTTTCTTGCTCCCCAACTATCTTGGTGGCTGCTCTCTGTTGGACGCCATCCAGCACCTAAACCAGGAAGATGGTGGCAGCAAAGAAGATGGAAAAGTCGCTGGAGTCAGATCAATTCTAGGCTCCAGCTGGTTATGGTAAGTGGAAAGCATGTGCTGGGGTACAAGCAGACTCTGAAGATGATCAGACAAGGCAAAGTGAACCTGGTCCTCCTCGCCAACAACGGCCCAGCCTTGAGGAAATCTGAACTAGAGTACTACACCATGTTGGCCCAAACTGGTGTCCGTCACTACAGCGGCAACAGTATTGAATTGGGCACAGCATGAGGAAAATACTACAGAGTATGGACACTGATCCAGGTGGTGATTAGAAACAAGCCAGAAGAAACTGGTGAAAAGTAAATCATGCAAAATTTTTCTTTAATAAAACTGGCCAGAGCTTGTTCTACATGTATGCAAATGAATGCCTCAAACATTGGCTGAACATGGCAATTGCAGAGGCCCAAAAGCACACTAGGTATGACACTAGCTGTCCAGCAGCAGACACACTACTTCACGTGCCCGAGTTCCAGTTGTCCATCCGTGGAATGGGAATATTGTTTCATAAGGTTTTGTGTCGGTTTAAAGAAATATAACCCTTCTGCTCCACAAAAGGTATTATTACTTTTATCATTAGGTGTACCATTGGGGATTAGAGGTTGTTTCTACTGTGTCTCTACTTATAAAATACCAAACTGCAACGCCTATCGCCTCAACCTTTCCCCTACTTAGGGTTTTGTGTGTGTGTGTGTGTGTGTGTGTGTGTGATACGCAGGCCTCTCACTGTTGTGGCCTCTCTGGTTGTGGAGCACAGGCTCCAGACGCGCAGGCTCTGCGGCCATGGCTCACGGGCCCAGCCGCTCCGCGGCGTGTGGGATCCTCCCGGACCGGGGCACGAACCCGCATCGGCAGGCGGACTCTCAACCACTGCGCCACCAGGCAAGCCCCCCTACTTAGGTTTTAACCTACTTATTTCCCAAGGCTGGCATCAGTAGGTCAAAGGGTGTAGACTCATATTGCCAAATCGAGTTCCAAAAGGTTCACATCTGCCTCCACAAGGGCATGAAGGAAGCAGTTTCCTAGCACTTTTAACAGCCTCTGGTGGTATTTTTCCTTAGACAAAAAAAAAAAAAAAAAAAAAAAAAGCTGCTCTATTTTCTATTTTCTCTGGTGACCCGGGAGGAGAGTTTCCACGTGTTTTCAGATTTCGTTTGTGAATCCCGCCCTCCTCAAGTTTGTCTGTTGGGGTGTGGAGAGCGCCCACACTGGAGGACCGCCCCCTCTCCCCAGCCCACCCCGCCGAACTACGGACTGGTGCGGTCGGGCAGGGCGAGCAGAGGCGCCCCCCAACCCCACCCCCAGCCCTGCTGAGAAGCCAGGCGGCGATGCCCGACGCAAGGCGGACTGCCGCAGACCGGACCCAAACAATTTCGCGTATCTAAAGAAAACAGATCCCAAAGTCAAGCCTCACAGATAAGAAAGAGCGCGGCCTCCTAAGTCCAACAAGCCCTATCTCCCTCAAACTCTGGCGCGGCCACGTCCCTGAGCCCCAGCTTCCGGGTCTATAAAAAAGGGGAATTCAGTTGAGATGCTGAGCTCACAGAGGGTACTCCCGAGGGCTAAAACAGCTACTGCGGAAGTCCCGGTACGCAGCCAAAGGCCCTAAGCAAGGCCGCGAGCCCACGTGGCACGTGCGCGCGAGACGGGTGACCGTAGCTGTGACCAAGACTCTTCCCCGTCCGCCGCGGGCTCGCCCCCTCACCTCACCTCACCTCACCTCCACTCTCCACCCCATCATGTGAGCCGATGCTGCGGGCCGGAGCGGACCCGGCGAGGTTAGAGGTTTTCACATGCCGCGCTCACCCCCTTCCCTACATCGCACCCGGGTCCTCCTCTCACCAGCTTGCGCCAAAGCCGCCGGGTCCGTCAGTCAATTCTGCGCCAGCCTACGGTGCCGCGGCTGCCCCCACCCCGGACTCACCTCCCTGAAGGGACCTCTTGTGCTGATCCAGCTAGAGAAGGAAGCATCCTCTCGCCACCCTTTATTGGTTCATCCGTGGAGGCGGGCCCCTGACGGACAGCAAAATTGCCCAGTGGCTGAGGAGCGCGAGAGGGCGGGATCCAGAGGGGCCCAATCCGGTTCCTCCCCCTCCCCCGCCCATCCTACCCAACCTTTACCCCCACCTCCCTCAGGCTCTGACCTTGGGTAGGCTCGGCGCCGGGCTTCGGGAGCAGGCAGTCTTGTGGCTGAGCACCCCCACCACGTGACAGCCCCCCCTCCCCGTTCTGCGCACCCCAAACCGAGCAACCTCTCCCATTCCTCACTGTTGTTAGTAATACCCCACGGCTTCCTCTCCATTTCTGTGCTGACCAGTTCAGACCCCTCTCCCAGGCGCCACACCCTTCTATATCCACTTGGACGCCTCCCTCTGGAGGCCCTATGTACACCTTAAACATAGCTTGTCTGGAACTCATCTTTCTGCCAGACCTGCTCTTCCTCTCCTTCCCTAACCCAGTAACGGCCCCATCATCTGCTCAGAGACCCAAGCCCCAAGCCTGGGAGTCATTTTGACTCCTCTTCCCTCACCCCCACCCGTCTCCTGTCTGTTATCTAATCCTGTTCATCTCACCTCCTAGATATCTCTACAATCCAACTATTTGCCTCCAGCTACCCTCCCACTCCACTGCAACCTTCTCATCTGGTCTCCCCACCTGTGACTTCAACTTAGCCCTAGTTGCTCTGCTTCTACAGATCAGGTAGGGTGACCCTCAAATTGCTGCTGTAAAGTCTTCATTGGCTCCCCACCAACCACTGGGCCTTGAACTGACAATTACATTGGCATGGCCACTTATGGTTACCACAATAGTTAGTGATTGGTACGTTGAGAGAAGCTGAGAACCAGGACACCAGATATTTCCTCAGTCCCTTCCATTGTGGAATTCCAGTTATGGCCTGCTGCAATTGCTTTACTAGAACTCATCTATTACCTCTGATAAATCAAGTGCAGTCTTCCCTGGAGGCAGAGAAAAATAGGAGACGACCAGAAAAGGCCACTTAGAGCCCTGAAAAGGTGGTCTTCTGGAAGGAAGACACACTGGCTTACCTGGGGAGCCTGGCCAACCCACCTGGATCCAAGGACATGGCTGCCATAAAACAGCTCCTGTCAGACTTGCCTCTGATATGATATTCATACCGCCACTCACCCTTGGCCGTTTCCGGAAGTTCTACCAGTAAGTATGAATTTGCAATATCTCTCTTCCTGGATATTAAGACGGCTGTTTCGTACTTAAACTAAAAATAACTCCAAGGGATTCTAAATAAATGGGTACAATTATTATTATTTTGTATAGATAGTCCATTTGGGGTTGTAAAAGGTTATCCTTCAGCACAGAGGCAGCACAGCTTATGGGTGCCTATGATATGTCAGGCCCTGGGCCAACTACAGGGGACACACAGATGGCTGCCCTCACCACACTTTCCTGAGAATATTACATCATTCTGCTGTCTGAAACCACTGAGTTTCTAAGTTACCACACACACACCGCTTCCAAAGTAAAAATGCACCCTTGAGGATTTTGTGTGCACTGGAACTTTTGTTTAAAGGGTATAACCAGCTTAGTTTCCCTGTACACGATGGCTAGCCCAAGAACCCTATCCAGTCTCCCAAGGCTTCCTTGTCACAAGGTCTTATTAGAAAAAAAATGAAGGAAAAGGACTTATCTCTGCCCTGAGAAAGGGAAAGCAGCAGCTCACATGTCATTTTCCAAGAAAATATGTAAAAATACTATGTCTCACTCAAAACCAAGCAAATGTGAATTAAAATGAGATACTGATTTTTGTCAGTCAACCTGACAAACATTAAAACATGATTAATACCTAATGTTGGTGAGTGGGCATTGCTATCTTGGCAGGTGGGAGTGTAATTTGAGGCTGCCCAATGGACAGATCTTTGACCCACTAATTCTACTTCTTCTAATTTATCCTACAGAGGCAGTCAAAGGCAAACCTTACAAATTTTCTACAATAAATACACATTGCCCCATCTGTATAATATCTTGTATAATCAGAAAAAAAAAAAAAGAAGCAGGGGCTTCCCTGGTGGCACAGTGGTTGAGAGTCCACCTGCCAATGCAGGGGACACGGGTTCGTGCCCCGGTCCGGGAAGATCCCACATGCCGCGGAGCGGCTGGGCCCGTGAGCCATGGCCGCTGAGCCTGCGCGTCTGGAGCCTGTGCTCCGCAACGGGAGAGGCCACAACAGTGAGAGGCCCGCGTACCGCAAAAAAAAAAAAAAAGAAGCAAAACTGTATTTTAAAAACACAGGAGTGGTGGGGGTAGGGAGATAGATCTCTTAGATGATTCTGGCCAAGTCCCCTGATTCCCTAGCAATGCAGATAAGACCATCTATGGAATGCTAGGAAAGCTGGATTTGAGGATGATCTTGTGTCAGGAGGAATTGAGATGGTGGTAGAAGGTTTTTGTCTAACTGTCAAAACCATATCTGGCCTGATATCTGGGACAGTTTATTAAAAAACCTCAGATGGGGCTTCCCTGGTGGCGCAGTGGTTGAGAGTCTGCCTGCTGATGCAGGGGATACGGGTTCGTGCCCCGGTCTGGGA